TATCTTAAATACTAGTTGGCCCCTTTCTATTTTCCTTCTACGCGTTACGTTGATGACGGGGTATAGGCATCAATTGTATAGACATAAAAATGTTTTATGTCATTGCTGCTACCTTTTCCTTAAATTCCTAATTCCTCATACCACTTTTAAGAGGATCTACATTAGTGAATTTTGCTCAATTTCTGAGGTAAACATTAGTGATGTGGAGGAGAGATAAAATTTGGAATGTTCAAGGGGTGATTTTTGCGCGTTTCGGGCACAGACACTGCCCAACCCGGTGCGTGCAGTACACGTGCCGACTGGCACATCAATAGGCTTGCTTCATTTTTATTTTGTTTATTTTTTTCCTGCAATGCATCAGATTTTTTTTTCTTTCTCTCCCTCTTCTCTATCTCAAATGGCACCTCAAAAACGAAAAAAAAAAAAAAAAAAAAACTTTGGATAACTATTACTATTGAGGATACCTAATAGTGTAAACAAATCTCAAACACTAATTAACTCCAATTAGTGCCTTTAAATTGATGCAATCTTGCCATCTTTCGCCATAAATGTTTTTCCAAAATAATATAGATACGTTAGATTTTTGTAGCCTTTACGCAGTCTCATTTATCTTAAATATTTACGCAGTCTCATTTATCTTAAATATTTGCGGGCCCCTTTCTTTTTTCCTTCTACCGCACCCCCACCTCATTTTTCATGATATAATTTACATTAACTCTATTTTTTTTGGGTATACCTAGAATTTCCACCGTCAGACACAGTGACTATTACCCTCGTTGAATTGTAGACACCTCTTCTAGTATTCAATGCTCATAAACGATATACTAAACAATAATTTGATTAATTCCTTCTAAATATTTATTTTTTTTTCACGTACTATATTCATTATTATGTCATTTATTAGAGGTTTTGTTTTTGTTTTTTTGTTTTTTTTTTTTGTTTTTGTTTTGTTTTGTTTTGTTTTTTTTTTTTGTTTTTTTTTTTTGTTTTTTTTTGTTTTTTTTTTTTTTTTGGGACAGAAAGAATAAAATTGTCAAAAGATCAAACTGAAACAAAAAATAACGCTAATTGGATAAAAATTATAATGTATTACCAATTTTGAATTTTTCCAATATTGCTGTAATTTGATAATATTATAAATTACGAAGTGTGAGATTGTATCAAATATTGTAAAAATCATATGTTTGTGACAGTTGGATGCATGTTGTCTCAATTTTTCTGTCACCATAATGATTATGATTTTATGGATCATATTTTGAAATTCTTTTGAAATGCTTTTATCCAGAACTTTTATGTTATTAATCATGATATAACATGACATTTAACAGTGATAATAATCTAATCTTCTAATCTAATCTAAAATATAATAAGTCTCAATTCAAGTTATATCCCTCATTTATGTCCATGTTTTTAATGCAAATCATTTTGTACATTTCGCTTTTAGAGTTGTACTATATAATTTTTTGGACAAAAATAACCCTACTGTTATAACTTCCGTTATCTTTTCCATTATTGTTATCATATATTTTCTTATATTCTTTAATGATAATAATATTTGTAGACATTATACATTGGATTATTATAATAAATAAATAATAAATTTAATATTAATGTGTGTGATTCAATTACAATTAAGATAAATGATTACCTTTTTTTGAATGCTATTGGCTCTATTACAATGTAGTATGCCTCTGCTGAAGCTCGAACTCACAACCTTCCAAATGAAAATTTATTCCGGGTACCATTAGACCACATAATCTTGATAAGATAATTGATTACCTATTTATTATTGTTATGAAATAATGTTTGGTATTATTATTGTAATATCGATTATCATTTTTGAATCAATGGATCGGATGAATGAGGTGTACAATTATTTTGGCTTAATTGTATGGTTTCAATTTCAATAGATTGTCTAACATATCCTCTTAGTGGACCTGATCCGTAGACGCATAGAGCTATCAATTTAATGTATTTTTGTAGATGTTCTATCACTTGATAGCACCTAGATTAACAACTATCTAAGTCATGTTAATTACGACAAATCTTCTCAAGTTAACAAATCAAAGATCGTTCGATAGTTGTACAACTGTAAAGTGTCATTATGAGGAATAAAAGTTTGCTTCTTTTTTTTTTTTTTTTTTTTTTTTTTTGTGGAAAAAGTGTTGTTAGGTACATTACAAAAGGAGTCCATCAAGATATAGTTAGACCATGCTATAAATTAAACCTACTTTTACGTAAAAAGAAAAAATAAAAATCATTTCTTTTAGATTAAAGACATTTTGGAAGTCCAAAGGTCATAAGCATGTTTTGATAAAATGAGGAGAATGTAGGTTTTGGAAACCTACAACCTTAGGGGGCGCCAATAAGAAAAGTTCAAGATGTACGACTTTTGGCTCACCTTACTCTATAAATAAGCAATGCTGCAGAAGGCGATAGACGCTAGTCAGGCACCTAAGCGGCCTAGTAATCCGAGTATATATGTTGTCTTTACTTTTTTTCAATCAGAGCTAGGAGTTGTTACATTAGATGGTTACTTGAGTACATGGTTAAAGAAATATAGAATACGAGTAGCCGAGTAGGCAAAAAAATCATTCACCACAGTTGAGCACCAAACTGTAATTGCATCAAATTTCCAACCTTCAGTTTGCATCTCTCTCACAAACTCTTTTCAAAAGTTTGATCTCTCAAATTTGCATACCCAGAAATTATACCATTCCAAGAACTCAAATTTCTACAAGGCAATTCATCAAACAGCTTCAATGCATCATGAAGACTCCCAGCCTTCACATACATAGACATGAAAGAATTCCCAACCACAGTATCTAAAACAAACCCATTTTTCTCACACATACAGTGAACCATTCTCCCAGAGATACAATCCTCGGATTCACCCAACACTTTCACGATACTCGAAAACCCATTTGCTCAAAAAGAACCTATTCTTCGCGTACCCATTTATCAACGCGTTATAAATGTATACGCTTTTAGCTTCAATCGAGTCAAAGACTAGTCGCGAATCGAATGCGTTTCGACAGGTCGAGTACTCCAAGATGAGCTTTGTTGCAAGAACGGAGTCCGAGGTGGAGGCGGGAAGCCTGATTGGACCTCCTCACCTTTAACGTCCATTAGTTTTCTTTTTAAAATAATAATAATAAAAAACTCTGAAATGGGAAATGACAAGTTTGCCCTCCAACTTAACGTCTATTTGACAGAAAATATAACGGAGGACTTCGGGTGATAACTTTTTAAAACTTGGAGGACGTCTCGTGATCATTTAAAAGTCGGATGACCACAGCTGGTATATGGCTAATACTCGGAGGACCATTGGAGATAACTCCTTCAAAAAGCCATTCACGAATTCTACACTTCCAAGAATTACCAAAACTCTATCCAGTACTTTTCAAAAGACACTCACTATCCTGCAGCTTGGTGAACGAAAACGGTTGGGGCCTTTCAAAGCTACTTTCTCAACCTACTGAAGCGGGGTCTGTCATAGCTACAATACTTTCTCAACCTACTGAAGCATAATGAGTCAATACCGTCTCAACCTACTGAAGCACAAAGAATCAATATCACCCCCACTGGAACTAAAACCCATAACCTCCCATTTGGGAGAGCCACTTCATGCCACTTGACCACAAGGTCATTGGCGCAAAAGTAATTAACCTAGTTGACTTGATTTGCACTATTGTGAAAGTTAAACTTTCACTTGTATTCGTAGTGAAACCTCCTAGTATTAACGAGAAAAGTGAGGTGGAAGTTCCCGATCGACTATAAAAATATCATCTCAATTTCTATATGCCTTTCACTTTATTTCTATTAATTTTTATGAACTCAAACACAAACACAAACACATACAATTTTTCTTTAACGATTGCAAAAGTTCAAAATGACCAAATTAGGCAAGGTAAAGGCTTTCACTTCAAAAATCTCATCATATTTTTAAAAAAGTTTAAAAAATTCAATTTTACCCCACTCCAACCCCCACCCTCACCCTCCACCCTCAAGACCTTCTGCTTGTCTAGAACCAACAAAGAGGATGTTTTACTACCTTAGAGCTAAGAAGTCTTATTGCTAATTTTACTCGTATTACTATCAATCTACTAACTTTTATTAGAAATATGGTCATTTCAAGCATGTCTACGACTAACTAACTTTCCTCAAGATTAATGTTTTCTAAATTATCTTCTTGTAACAAATTTCTCATCTGAAAATATCTCTATGTAATATAACTACTTATGTTGTTGTTCTTGAACTAATATCTATACTAAAACCTAAAGCATAAGCTTACTTGAAATAGTGTCTTTAAAGACTCCCGTTTTAAGACAGATTATACTGACACTTGGTAGATATTATACATCTATTATATTCTATATTACGAAACGTACATTCTAAGACTTTTTAATTTGCCAAAGGATATGATTTTTAGCCAACTAAAAGTCTAAAAGGGATCTAATCAAAGCATTAATAAAACCCTTATAGAACTAGTATTTTTAGTTGATGAAATAGTGCGAATAGAAACTAAACTTTTGTTTGACAAAGTATGTAGAAATATAAAGATTGTTTCAACCAGAGTTCTTTTCTGTTCAGCTTCTTAATTGCTATCTCGGACAAATCATCCAAAGTAATGTCTGGTGATGATCAATAATTATCCTTGGAAAATCGGGGATTAACTTGACCTGCAATTTTATAAACAATTGCATATAAGTAAACTATTTAAAGCCATAAATAAAACGGAGTCAACTATTTATAAATATATATAAAAGTTAAAATGTACATATAAAAATATTGGTTTGCGTTACCATGCATGAAATTTGGATTTAACATCAAGCATCGAAGATGAGGATCAACTGGTAAGCCAAATTCTTGGTACTTAGGATCATACAATCCATACATAATGGGCCTACACAAACTTAAAATAATTAGGAAATGAGGTTAAAAAAAAAAACAATTAATCAAGCATATAAAGAGATGTTGTACGTACATTGAACCACTCGAAGTCTCTGGTAAAGTGTTATTTGGAGTGTTGGTGGATAATCCCTGGTAAATTATTGACTGCAGACATCCTTCTTGCCCGCTCTTATTAGCAACAACTTCAACCTGTTTTTTTTTTTTTTTTTTTTAAAAAAAAATTTGAAAATATAATAAAATATAATTTTTTGGGGAATTTTTTTAAAAATAAATTTCAGATTAAAAGTAACCTATGCCAAAAATAATTTCTATTCTTTTAAAACATTCTAATAAAAACTACTATAAAACTTCAACTTATTATATATGTATTGACTAATAAAGTTACCTGGTTAGTGTGGTTTGATCTTTTCCCTTGGGATGTACTTATACCAGAATAATGTTTGGAACTAAACTCCTTTATAAGAGCATCAATAAACATAATTTAAAAGTTAGTATAAATATATATCATTCAAAATTTACTACATCATATATTCTAACAATAATAGAAAAATCTATTTTCTATACATTACGTAAATATTTATAAACAGAGTCGAAAGAACATTGTTTAAAAGCCATACGATAGGAGACAGGTTCGGTGGATTGCTTGTTGGTGGCATTGTTGAATGGGCATTTTCAATTTGAGCCTTAAAATTTTAAAATTAAAATAAAACCATTAGAAATAATTTTATAAAATTAAGAACAAATTATAATGAAATGTGAAAATATATACCATCACTGATTGGCTTGTGTTTCCAGTCATATGATATGAATATTCGTTAAAAGAGTTCAACGAATTCATTGGAGAGGGAATAGACCATATCATTGGTGTGGGGTGCCCGAATGGTAATGGTTGTATAGGGACTGTGTCAGTCAGTCTCCCCTACATATATATACCATATTATTAAGAATTTAAAGAATTTTAAAACACGTGATTTTAAAATATAAAAATAAATAAATAAGTTTTGTTATGAAAAGTAAACAAACCTCTGAAATTTTTGGAAGTGGGCTTTCAGATGCAGAGTTAGGCACAACCCTGGTAATATTGTACAAATGTTTCAAAATAATTTCTTTTGAAAATCACTTTATTCTTATTTTTAAATTTTTTATATATAAAAATAGCTATGACTATCTATTATACAAGCATCTGTGTATATGTATTTTCTAAACATATGTTCCATTTTATTAAAAATGAAGATAATTGAAGTTAGATAATATAGGAACAATAGGTCAAAATTAAAGTTTCTACCTTGTGATTAGATAAGACCAAAAGTCATAAATATCTAATCTTAGCTATTATTTTAATTGAATTATATCACATAGAGATATAAAGTTACCGAAACAATGAAATACCAAGCACATATTCTATCACTTTTGAGATGGATTGAGAAAATTTTATATAAACTATTGATCATTGTTGTTGTAGTATGCCTAAATTTTAAAAACTTTAATGTGGAATCGAAATTTTCTTTCATTGGATGATTGGGTCAAAATTTTAAATAAAATATTGAAAAAAGTTTTGGGCAACAAAATTTTAATGTTACTATATATCCACTTGAATGAATGGAAATTTGAAGCTGAATATGTGCAATTTTTGGTAGAAAAAATGTTGAAATTCTTTCTACTTATTGTATCTATAAGAAAATGAAATAAAGAAATAAATTAATGAAAAACAAGAAGAGAGAAGAAATTTTTTTAAGGAAAAAAAAAAACGCTAATCTTTACATTAATAAAAAGTAATGGTATTGTTGGTAGAAAACGCCAGGATTGCAAGAAAATTTCTCTCATGTTTTGTAAAATCTTTCTATTCATGAATTTTTCAACTAGATTTTGTCAAATCTAATTATATATGATCTACCCATTTCAATATCGAATACAAGTAGATCTATTAAATATTTTGTGCTCAAACAAAATAAGTACACAACTTCATAAAAGAGATAGATCACAATTTCATACTCCTTAGATCTATGAAAAAATTGAGCACACTATATTATCTAATATACATGAATTTGTTGAACATCTAGTTAATGAATTATTGTCAAAATCAGAACGACCTACTACCGCAAGTTCAACAATAGAGTTTATAAAAACCATCTTTTACATAGATCTATCATAAATATTTTTAAGAAAGTTATTTTTTGTAATTGAAATGAAAACTCATCATCAAGAGAGAAAGAGAGAGATATATATATATATATATATACCTTGATGCTTCTGATTCATATGTTGAGTATATGTCGGCACCATTGATGAAATAAGACATTGGGAAACCTTAGCTTGCAGAAATTTGTGAGAATGAAATGAATCTGAAAAACTAAAATCCTACCCGAATTTATCAAAGAAGTTCGTACTGAAAAGGCAAAAGCATCATAATTATATAAAGAGAGAAAGAGCGTGAGTGCTAACGTTAAAGTGAAAAAAACGGATACTTGAAAAAACGGATCTTCCCTAATAGACACCAAATGTCTCATAACGATATATAATGTTGGGGGGAAGTAATATTTTAAAAATAAATTAATACAAAGAAAAACTTAATAGGAAGAATCATAAATTTTTACCGTGTATTTGGTGAGGTTATACAATATCTTTTTTATAAATGAATACAAAGAAATACTTAATAAGAAGAAAAAAGTATCGAACTTGGAAACGTACAAATGAAGTGCATAAAATCAAGAAAAATGACTTTTATTTTCATTGATTATGTGTAAAAATGGAGAAAATCATCTGATACCAGGGCTACTAATTAAATTTCAAAAGATTGAGGCATTGAGACGCCAAATATTAATGAAAAAGAATATTAAAATTCTATCATTTTAATGAAAAAATTTCATATTTTTAACTCTCATACCACCATATGATGGTACAAATTTAGAATTACTATTATTATTTTCTGAGTACAATTGCTACTATTATTTAGTCTTATTGTTATTACCAAAATATTCCTGCATTTTCTATTTTGCATAGAGGCATTAAAAAAAATTCCTTGTTGATACATATAATAATAGTTGCTGATATGGTTTGTTTTAAAGATGATTGCTTTAATTTTAAAGTAAATATTTAATCATTGATACATATTTACCATTTTTAAAATATTTATAGTATTTAGTACTACTTCAATGATATATAATAATCTACCAACACCAAAGTAAGATATATATATATATATATATATAACTAAGATTTTAACATTAAATATTAATATTGGGCATATATTTTTGCGCATCGCGCATATGAAATACTAGTATATATATAAAGTAGGGAGAATACAATAATACAGAGAATACAAAATTTATATATATATATATATATATATATATATATATATATATATATATATATATATATATATATATTGTAGAATTCATATCAATATTAATATAATGAAGTAAGAATTATAGAAATGATATATTACTAAATATAACTATCTAATTAAAATCAAACTTACCAATTGAAGAATGTATGAAAAAGATATTGTGTATGCATGTGCATGATAATAATAATGTGAAAGATAACAGAAGTTATAACGGCAGAGATATTTTTGTCCAAATAATTATGTAGTACAACAATTTTAGCATAAGGTACAAAAAAAGTTAACAAAAAAAATGTACATAAAACCAGGGACATAACCTGGATTGAAGCTTATTATATTTTTAGATATATATATATATATATATAAAATAAACGACTGATATTTCCCTCTCTGTATTTTTGTATTCTCTCTACTTTATTGTAAAGAGTAATAGACAGTGTAATTTTACAATAAGAACAATACAATGATTCACACTAAGATACGTTTCATTTCAAAACGTGTTATCAGATTGTTCTAAATCAATTCTCAGTATATAGAATAAAGAATTAATTGCACTTTTGGTCCTTTAATTTGACTATTGGGGTGCTGTTAATTTGAGTATTTGACTTTTAAAACTCTCAATTTAATCATGTAACTATGCAATTGTTAACACATTTGGTCCTGCCGGCCAATTTTGACCGAAAAAACGTAACTGCGTTCGAATTTTTTTTTCGAGGGTGAAACACGGTCATTGCAAGGGATAAAAGAAGGTGGGGGAGGGGGGGGGGGGGATTTCATCCGGTCGCTGGGCATTCTACTTGGTCAACTATCCTAATATCCTAAATCAAATTTTACCTAATTATACTCTACACTACAATGTGAAGAACAATTAGAACCTCCTCCTTGTCATACGAAAGCAACGAATCCGTCTATTGCATCTGGACATCATCTTCGACTAGACTTCGTCTACTGCGTCTGGACATCATCTTCGACTAGACTTCGTCTACTGCGTCTGGACATCCTCTTCTGCGTATGGCTAATTCGTATCATACAATGCGTAATTCATCATCTACGACTGAAATGGGTCTACAACTAAGTAAGAAATACATTGTTAACAGTTAAAATTGGATGAAATTGATAGTGTATAACAATATTTCTTGTTTGGGTTGAGTGTTTTATGTGTGTGGAGTACAATGGCAGTAAAGCATATCTAGGGTTTGACGTTTGCTTTATATATGAATAGAATATATTCTGTACTCGTGTTTTGTTCTGTGGGGATCATTTCTAGTACAGTTTTTTTTTTGAATAATTTGTGTTATTGTGTTGTGTTCTGTGGGGACCACCACTATATTTATACATTTGTCAATATGCTATGTGCATAAACTGGGATTATGAACCATTTATGTATAGCTTTATTGTTTTGTGTTCAATGGGGACCTCTATGTTGACTGTTGCATGTGTAAATGCTTGCTTTACTGTAATCGAGTTTGACCTTTTTCAGTTTTCCTTTTCCATAATGGAATAATAAATAGAGTTGGTGAAGTTAAATATTTGGGTGGTGACATAGAAGTGTATGACAGAATGGAAGCTAAGGAAGTTTGTTTAGAAATGTTGAAGGATAGGATAAAACATTTATGGCAAGTTTGGTTCATGGAATAGGTCAGGAATGGAATAACATTCTTTGGAGTAGACCTATTCCATCGTTTGGTTCGATCATTTTGTCATGGGAATAACATGCCTAGGAATGAGCTATTACCTTTGCAAGGGAAATAGCCATTCCTAGGGGGGTCCTTGGTATTAGCTATTCCCATACCCTTGGAAATAGCTTTTGTTTCACAAATACCACAAATACCCTTTGCACATTATATAATATTTATATTTATTTAATAAATATAATGTATATATTTAATTAATTATAATTTTTATCCATCAATCTATCAATATATATATATATATATATATATATATATATATATATATATATATATATATATATATATATATATATATATATATATATATATATATAATTAACTATATAAAACTCCTTAATTATGTAGCCTTGGCTCCTAAATTAAGTAGCCTGCCCATCTGCATGCCTAGCGGATGGGCATTGTAAGCTTGCCTAGCGAATGAGCATTGCAATTAAAATTATAGAGGCTTTAGGCTCCTTTTATAGGAGCCTCAAGGCTCCATTCCTAATTTCTCCAACCGATGTGGGATAAGTGGGAAATTAAATATAAATATAAATATGTATTTGTATAATAATAATAATAATAATAATAATAATAATAATAATAATAATAATAATAATAATAATAATAATTATTATTATTATTATTATTATTATTATTATTATTATTATTATTATTATTTTGTATAAGGGTATTTATGTCTTTAAAACATATTCCATTGCTATTCCTTTAACCAACCAAACACTGGAATACAATTACTAAAGTCTATTCCTTCAGCCAACCAAACAACAGAATACAATTCCTATTCTATTCCTTACATGTACACTTGTAACTTGTAGCTTGTCTCTGAGAAAAGAAAATCTAGGACCAAGCAAGGCTTTGGTCAATATATCTGCAAGTTGATCTTTTGTTGAGATGAAATTTACTTGAATCTCTCCAGTAACAACTTTATCTCGCACAAAGTGATAATCTATCTCTACATGTTTGGTGCGGGCATGGAAGATGGGATTGACACACATATATGTAGCTCCAAGATTATCACACCATAATTTGGGAACCGAAATCCCTGTAACACGGATTTCACGCAAAAGAGACATGATCCAAATCACTTCAGCACAAACATATGCTAGAGCTTTATATTCAGCATCAGTAGAAGATCTAGCAACAATTCTTTGTTTCTTGCAGACCCATGATACTAGATTAGATCTAAGAAAAGTAGCAGAGTCACTTGTGGATTTTCTATCCTCCGGATAGCCAGCCCAGTCAAAATCAGAGAATGCATGAATTTCCCTTGAGGATGACTTCCTGACTCGTAGGCCGAAATTAACAGTTCCTTTGACATACCATAATACTCTCTTTAGTTGTTCCCAGTGAGTAGTTCTAGTTGCATGCATGTGTTAACATAACTGATTGATTGCAAATGATAGATCAGGACAAGTGATGGTTAAAATGCACCCGCTAAACTCCTGCATTGTGTAGGATCATCGTGTGGAGTTGCGTCAATGGGGATGGATTTTGTCGTGGGAATTGGGGTGGACAAGGACTTGCATGCAGTCTGTCATTCCAGCACATTTTAGAATATCCTACATGTATCTCTGTTGGCAAAGTAAAATCCCATCATTTTATTTAATTGCCTCAATTCCAAGAAAAAAACCTGGTTTCACCAAGATCCCTGATTTTAAATGCAGTAGAGAATTCTGAAATCAACGGCGAGGTGCATAACTTCTTCACTGAGAGAAGAAATCAACATGGACATAAGAGCCCGATCATGACGAAACCATGTTGCGTAATCGGGATTGGGTGCCGGCAAGCCACCTTCGACGACGAGAAGATAAGGTGGCGGACTGGGTTTGGTTCCATCGATGAACGACATGAGACCATGTCCATCAATAAACGGAACGACCTGATTTCTCCAAAATAGATAAGTTTTGTGTGTAAGCTTAATACGGATAAAGTGATGAGCAGTAGAAAGCGAAGAAATAACAGCGTTAGCGGAAGACGTAGCAGCGACGTTGGAGACAGTTCGTTCGGATGATTGAACAGATTCGGTAGCAATTGAGCTAGAGAAAACAGAGAAACCCCTAGCTTTAATAGATACCAGATGAAAACTGTATGAATTGTATTGAATGAACTTAATTACAACGGTACAGACACAGGGAATATATATATAAGAGGAATCATAGGAAGACTAGAATATTGAGTCATACTATGACTCAAATACAAGAATCCTAATACTAATACTAATAGAAACAATGGATGATTTGGACTTGATTGATGCGAGTTAATAACTCCTATGGTCCTCCGAGTTTTAAATGACCTCCATTAGTCCTCCATATTTTAAAAAATAACCACCTGTGGTCCTTTTATGACGTCACGTGGTCATTTTAAATTTGGAGTTTTTTAAGAATTAGGACCACGTGTGGTTATTTTTAATAACACGGATGACCATTGGAGGTCATTTAAATCTCGGAGGACCACAAATGGTTAATCGCTAATACTTGTAGGACCATTGGATGTATTAACTCTGATTGATGCTGATATGGAAGTACTTAAGGTAGAAAGTTATTGGGAAAATGAGATTCAGGTAGAGTGTTTGAGGGTAGATGAGTATGTTGCAGAAAAACTAAGGGAGCCAAACATAGGAAAAGTACCTTCCATAGTTGTTGATGCTGATATGAAAAGTAGCCGAACAAAAATGATGACAAAGGATGAGTATGAAATTAACTTTATGATGAGGAGTCAGTTGTTGATTTTGATAGTGATGGTGAGGGTAAGTGGCCTATATTTAGACCTGCAACAGACATGAAGGAGCCCCATTTTACTTTAGGCATGACTTTTGCATCTAAACAATAGTTTAGAGAAGCTGTGCAAAATTATGCTTTCAATAATGGCAAAGAAATTAAAACACTTAAAAATGACAATAAGAGGGTGATTGTTAACCGTACACAGGAGGGTTGTCTTTGGAGAATAGGGTTGAGGAAAGTACTTGGTTCACTGTCATACATGGAGGATTTTTAACATGACAGATGAACATGAACGGTGTTGATGGGTTTGGGAGAATTCTATGTGAAGTCTTATGTGGTTGCTAAAAGGTGGTCAACTGAATTAAAAGACCACCCTGATTGGATGATGAAAAATTTCAACGATATGGTGTGTAGTCAGGAGGGATTTTATGTTAGTGATTCACAAGCCTATAGGGCTATTTGGAAGGCAAATAAACTAAGAGAAGGTAAGGAGGAAGATAATACCTTCAAGAGGATTTGGAGTTGTTGTGCAGAAATGTCAAGAACAAACCCCAAAACAACATGTGTTGTGAAACTTAGTGATTTAACTGATGAAAGTGGCAATCACAGATTTATGAGAATGTAAGTGTGTTGTGAAGCTAGTGAGCAAGGATTCAAGCATTGTAGATGACCAAAAGGTGTAGATGGCTGTCACCTTAGAGATGCAACTTGTGGGATGCTACTAATAATTGTTACTGTTGATATAAATGATAGTATATTTCCACTAGCATATGTTGTTGTGGAAGGGGAGAAAAAGGAGTCCCGGACTTGGTTTCTACAGCTTCAGAAGGAAGATTTGGATATAACTGAGACAGTTGAGAATGTATACTGCTTCATTAGTGATAAACAAAATGGATTGATTCCAACCTTTGAGATTGTGCTACCTACTGTGGAGCATCGATTTTGTGTGAGACACCTTCATGCAAATATGAAGGTGGCAGGTTTCCAAGGGAAGGCACTTAAGGATTCTCTATGGGCTTGTGCTAAGGCAACCATTGTGAATGCATTCAAGGTTGCATTAAGCAAACTTAGGGACTTAGATGAAGATGCAAATCAATGGCTTGGTGATAAGAGTCCAACAGAGTGGTCTAGATCCCACTTCTCTACAAACTCCCACTGTGACATGTTGGTAAATAACATATGTGAGCCTTGGAATGCATCTATATTGGAGGCAAGGGACAAGCCAATTATTGACTGCCTTGAAATGCTTAGGAAAATGTTGATGGGCAAATTCTTTAAGAAAAGACAGAAAACATCAGACTGAAAATCTTTGATATGTCCTTCAATTGTGAGAAAGTTGAAGAAAATTGAGAAAGAGCACTACAAGAAAAATGCACATATACAACGGTTAATAACCGTTGTCGTAGGGGTAAAATTTCTGTTGTTGAAGCCGGTGTTGTTGTAAGTCCCGCGCATAGACAACGGTTTTTAACCGTTGTCTTTTCTAGAAACAACAACGGTTTTTTAACCGTTGTCTATTAAGTGTTGTTGAAGCTGGTGTTGTTGTAAGTCACGCACATAGACAACGGTTTTAAACTGTTGTCTTTTCTAGAAACGACAACGGTTTTTTAACTGTTGTCTATTAAGTGTTGTTGAAACCGGTGTTGTTAAAAGTCACTCACATAGACAACGGTTTTAAACCGTTGTCTTTTCTCAAAACGACAACGGTTTTTTAACCGTTGTCTATTAAGTGTTGTTGAAACCGGTGTTGTTAAAAGTCACGCACATAGACAACGGTTTTTAACCGTTGTCTTTTCTATAAATGACAACGGGTTTTTAACCATTGTCTATTAAGTGTTGTTGAAACCGGTGTTGTTAAAAGTCACGAACATAGACAACGATTTTAAACTGTTGTCGTTTGTTTCAAAGACAACGGTTTTTGACTCGTTGTCTATTCAATGTTGTTGAAACCGGTGTTGTCTCAACGGTTTTTAACCGTTTTTAACCTGCTTATATTTTAATCGTATAAAAAATCAATTTATCCATTCACCATAGCCAAGTGTAGTTACATAATTTTGCACAAGCTATGGTTCAAAATACAAAAGAACTAATTAACAAGTCTAAATACTTCCATGACCAATTCAAATTGAATCATATATCATCCAAGTCATAATACTACAAAAAACAATTCCACAAACCAAATCTAAATGATCACAGCATTCTAATGATCAAATCATACCTACTCCCTATTGATGCATTAAAAATCTAAGTCATTCAAAATAAAACTTAAAAAAAAATGCTAAGCAACCTGTCTCTGACAACCAAGCATGGGCATCGATCTTGTTGTTCAGCTTGTTCACGTTGTTCAATTTGTTGCAAGGCATCGATCTCCTGAGGACGAGTCATCCAAGCATGGGCCTCCCTCATCTATTCGTCTTTGTAAAGAATGGTTTCCTTTGCAATTCTGTTCTGAAGATTGAAGAATATTCAATTTGTCAGACTGCAAAATTCTAATCAGCAGCTAATGTTGCACAAGTACTTAAATATTTTAAATTATAAAAGTATCAAATGCATTCCATAATGCAGTTTCTCCATGTTACCATACTACAAAGCAGTGAAAGTATTTTCAGAAATTATGGTACATATGAATTGACCTGTTCCTGCAATTCCATAAACTGATGTTCTTTCTCTTGAATATGTTCCTGAAGTTCATGAAGTTGCTTAATATGCTGAGCTCTTTCAGCTTCAGAGTTGTCCCTCTCTCTCCTGGAAATTTATGAACTTCAGTAACAAATATAATAAATAAAGCAAAAAATATCTCAATTCTCTAACAATTTAAAGCTTTTAGTTGAGGTAGGGCACACAATTCAACAGTAAGATCATATAATCACCCATCACCCCAAGAAACCATTTTAAGTTAGGTGATTGTTTGATTTGAAACATGAAAATCATTACTGCTAGTGCAATGTAGTTATGTAATTCTTCCCATATTAAAACTATATCGCACATGCAAGCTCAATGGTCATAAACATGAAACTTAGTTTACACAAAGAATTAAGATCAAGAAGGCTTACATTCCAACAATGTGACGACACACAGTGATATTCCCAACATTGCAGTCACACTTAACATTGCTCTCAGACCAACTTGGCCGCGGTTACGCTATCCCAACTCCTTCGAATTTGCACGAACGAGCATTGAACTTCCAAGATGTTACACCCATATATGGTAGTGACAATCTGCCCACCATCTTTGTGCTTGCCATTTGTTAAACATCTCTCAGCTAACAAAAGGCAACATTGTGATCAAATGAGTGAGTGTATGGAACCATAAAAAGGTAAATCCAATTAACAGTACTAGAACAAAAATTTTTAGAAATGTTGTAAACAGTGTTTATGCTAAAACAAAGTATATTAATTGAGATGTAAACAGCCAATAATTGTTGTGTTTAATAGTACTTCATATTTTCTAATTTGTAGAAGTCTTAGAAAGGATAGTCTATTGTTTTTTTTTTTTATAAGAAGAAGATAGACTATATGCAATGCCACATTAAAACATAATAGTAAATCTTCTCTAAACAATGGTCACACTCTCAACAATGTGTGTATAAAATTCATCTGCTTAGCTTGAATTACGGTGTCCATCCATATGGTAATAATCAAGATAATTTTTCACCATCATAAACTATCACATTTTTATTAAGGGATGCCTCTTGGTTATGCATGTTAGTTACCACTACTAATAAAAGATTCAGCTGGACCACACTGAGTAGAAAACAAAAGAAAATGATTTATCCAACTATCACATTTCACATTTCTAAAGCAGTGTGCTAAGGGAATTCTCCTGGTTACGCATGTTAGTTATCAATACTAATGAAATATTCAGTTGGACCACTCTGGCACACTGCCTTTAAAAAAAAAAAAAGCATTTATCCCACACCATTCAGAACTCACCATGATGATTTCATGGGCACAATTACCTAAATATGAAATATCGAGTGGAAATAAAACATTACAATCACTTGACATTCTTTAAGTTGCTAACGTATAAATAGTTTGGACTAGTGATGAACATGTATAACACTTCATTGAAGTTCTTATTTGAAGTTTTCTGATCCAGTTGAGCCTGAAATATCTCTTAGGTGATTAAGGAAAAGAATGGGCATTGAGTTCCATTGAGCATTGAAACTTGCATATTGTGGGAGAAAGAGCTTGATCTGGTATGGTATATAAGCACAAGGAAAGGAGAATTCCAAAGGTATCGATCAGTGCAATACATACCTTTCCAGGATGAATTTCCCTTCCTTGTATTTCTGGCTTTTGTCCTCAGCAGATTCCTAGAGTTATTAACACAAACTTATCACCACAAACTATTGGAGAAACCATGTCAGAAGCATGTGTAACAATAGGTGATTCAAGTGTGTCACGTGACGAATGAGAAACTCACATATTTCCAGCCAAGCCAACTGCAGCAGCCCACACAACAGATGTCAACAACAGTGTGCATTCCTGTCATCATCATCTGCTCTTTCCTTTCCCCTTCAAACACATTAACGCTGTAACACAAAAGGAGAGATTGAATTGTTATGGCATCAATATGAGAGAAGCAGTTCTTTCTGCAGTTCCACAAGAAAGCTAAGCACACAACATTAATGAATGTGATTAGTTTTGAAGAAATAAAGCTCTTCTCAACAGAATTGTTCCCGTCAATTCTCTGCAAAAATGTGAACTGTGCTGTTGATGTAACTCTGTTCTATCTATTCAAAGTTACGAGCAAAGAAAAGGCATGCAATTTATTAGTAAGATCACAAGGTCATTCATTTGATCATAATTTTCATTTAAAAGTTCATATGCACTCTTTTGAACTAATATGAAATACAAAATATGAAAGCAGGAATGTGGATGTCCGGAGGAATGCACAGTTATCAAAGGTCTGAGTTTGATAACAGCTAGTAAAGATTGCACACTGTTACCATAACCTCTGTCGAAAAAGTTTGGCACTCTACCACTGAATACTTACACATTCTCAAAGAGATATATGCCTTTCTATGCCTGCTGTGGAAAGACTGAAAGCAGAGGTGAACACTTGTAGAATTAAGCAAGTGTATCAGGCATGGGCATTGCTTAAAGAAAGGTTGGAAATTCTGCTTCTAAAGAGTGAACTTTGGGTCATATGGATTGTTTTCCACCTAAAAAGTATTAAATATGAAAAACAATCATATATCTGCAGCATTTAACAAATTTTACTAAAAAAAATCTATTGGAAACCACAAGTAGCCACTACAAGTATGCAACAAATACAATTTACTTCTACAGTTAAGATTACAAAACAAAACCACCACCATACACACATACATAAATAAAACATGCATTCAAGGATACACACAGAATATATGGCCTTGTATCTAATGACAATCCCTTCTCCAAAAACTCAAATACAAACACATAGGCGCACGCACTGATGCAGTACAAAACATATATCCAAAAATTCAAAATAAATTTCTTAAAATATCACAATAACAATAATATTTGAAATAAATCAACAAAAAATTGAAATAAATTAAATATAAAATAAATAAATAAACTTACCAGTTGTGAAGGATGGCGGCTTCGGGGATGGTTGTGGCGTTTGGCGTCGGTACGTAGCGGTCGCGAGTGAGCAGCGTCGGTGGAGGAAAGGCAGCGGTGGCGTCGGATGGCAGCTACGGCGGAAGAAGGGCGTCGGCGTCGGTTGTGGTTTCAGATCTATTGGTGGCGGGCGGAAATGGCTAAGGTCTCAGATTTGAAGAGAGGCTGCCAGCAGATCTATAAATTTGGCTGAAGAAAGGAGGAACGTCGTCTGTTTGAGGTGATGCTTGCGGGCTATAAGCTTGAATCTCCGATGAAGGAATAAGTCGTAAGGACTAAGGAGGGAGGAGGTTTAGGGAGAAGGCGCCACTTAGTGAAAATTTTGAGGCCAAAATTTGGGTATGGCGCCATCTTAGGAATATATTTTTTATTTTATGAAGATATTACTTTTTAATAGTGCCAAATGATAAAAATCTTTCCTGTAAAATATTTTTATTTTTCTGACGTTTTATGTTAAAATTAAATTTTAAAATAAAACATTTAGGGACGTTTATTATAAAACGTCATTGATTCTATATTTTTATTGACCAAAAAATTATATTTCGTCAGCAAATATTACAAAAAAAAAATTATTGTCTGTACCAAAATATATAGTGACGTTATTTAATATAACGTCGTAAATAATAACAGAAGGCGGTTATATAAAAATCGATGTGTATTAAGTGACATAGTATATAATAGAAGACGGTTATTTAGAAAACCGTCATCTATTATGTGTCGTAGTATAACAACATATAACATAAGTCGGTTATTTAAAAAACCGTCTTCTATTAAATGACGTAGTATATCATTTATGTAGTAGTATATCATTATATTTGGACAAAAAAATTTAATTACATTTTTATTTTTGTTCTAGATCTTCTAAACATCTATTTTCATCTCGTAACAAAAACAATGAAGGTCCAAATTATAGGTAAAAGATAGGGTGTAACACTTTAGTAATCAAAAGTAAGTGTGCCTTCGTGGGTTTAGCTTTGTTTGATATGTTAGAGGTCTTGGGTTTTATCTTTCTTGGTGGCATTTTAACCTATATTTTATACAATCATTGTCTTGGTTCTTAGAGTCAACACAGAACCAAACTCGTTATATCTTAAATGTTGCACTTGAATAAATAAGGGTTGGTGTGGCTTGGTGGGTTTAGCTTTGTTTGTTATGTTAAAAGTCTTGTGTTCAATTCTTCCTAGAGGCATCTTTAACTTACTTTATAAAATTGTTGTCTTGGTTTACACAGAAGCAACCCAGTTATATATCAGATGTTGCACTTTGGTACATAAAAGTTCGTGTTGCTTAGTTGGTTAAACCTTATTTGTTATGTTTGAGGTCATAGGTTCAACTCTTGTTGTTAACATCCTTGTTTTCATTTTATACAATTGTGTCTTTTATAACCGTTGTCTTTGTAGTGTTGTGTATTCAAATACGCTTAAAGACAACATACCAATAACAACGGTTAAATAAAACCGTTGTCTTAAACAAATAAAGAACGCGCAACGACAACGGTTATATAAAACCGTTGTCATTGTAGTGTTGTGTATTCAAGTGCTATTAAAGACAACACATAAATGATAACGGTTAAATAAAACCGTTGTCTTTTATAAAATAATAATCCGCAAAACCGTTGTCTTTGTAGTGTTGTGTATTCTAGTGCGCTTAAAGACAACACACCAACGACAACGGTTAAATAAAACCGTTGTCTTTAAAAAAAAAAAAAGAACGCACAAAGACAACGGTTTTAAATAACCGTTGTCTTTCTAGTGTTGTGTATTCTAGTGCGCTTAAAGACAACACACCAACGACAATGGTTAAAAAAACCGTTGTCTTTTTAAAAAAAAACGCACATAGACAACGGTTTTAAAAAACCGTTGTTGTTGTGGTGTTGTCTTTTCACAAAATGCACAAAGACAACACACTTATAACAACGGTTAAGTAAAAACCGTTGTCTTTGACAAAAGTGTTGCATCAAAGACAACGGTTTTGGACCAAACTGTTGTCTTTTGTACAAAAGACAACACTTTTCTTAAAAACTGTTGTCTTTCTAGTGTTGTCTATGTGCATTTTTCTTGTAGTGGAGGCAGCAGGTTACTTGGCAACACAATGTGATTTCTTCAAGTTTGAAGTTGTGCAATTATATGGAGATCAACAATAGGTTGACTTGGAGTTGAAAAAATGTTCTTTTAGGATGTGGG